AAAATCGTTTAAATGGAGTAATTCAATTTTCACAATTATTTCATTCGAAATTTTAGTTTTATTTATTTTTAGAAGATCTATTAGATCTATTAGACCATTTAAGTATACAATCGTGTAGTTGTTACCGTAATACCTCTAATAGTAGCGCTCGGATCGATGAACGGAAGATGCGTTTGGATTCTTTATCGAATTCTGACTTGTTAATGTACAAATTTGACGGGGCAAAATTACTAGAGAACACCGTCAAATCGGGTGTCAAAGTTGAGCACTCAGTCTTTTAACCATTTCCTGTGAGTCTCATAGCATTTAGCCCTGTAAAAGTACATACCGTAAATACTGTAATTAGTACCCCACCCCCATAATGACGGTGCGGAGTGTTGCGTAGGCTAGCTTTGAACGAGTTTTTGCTCGACACTGGTTTATGCTAGAATGCGCGCTTAGGTATCAAAAAATAGCTGAAATTCAGGGCTATTTTTTGATACCAAAGACACATTTTTTGAAAGTACGGGCGCTTTGAAAAAAAATGAAATACTAAAAAACTTTTGCGACTACGCGACTGTACGAGGGGGTTGGGGGGGGGTACTATTACAGTATTTACGGTAGTAATTATCGTACACACAGTCTAATCTTAGTACATAGATTCCCAAATGTCTAGGATTTTCTAGACATTTCAAATCACTGACCAAACCCCCTATAATGACGGTGCGGAGTGTCGCGTAGTCTAACTTTAAACGCATTTTTCTCGGCACTCATTTATGCTACAGTGTGCACGTAAATATCAAATGAAAGCTGAAGTTCAGGGCTATTTTTTGATACTAAACATGAATGTTTAGAAACTATGGGTCCTTAGAAAAAATGATTCAGTAAAAATTTTTTGAGACTACGCGACTTTACGGGGGGAGGTGGGTGCTACTATTAGAGGTATTACGGTAATCAATTCATAGAAACTGTCAACTTTAAGAAGCAATTCAACATTCAGGGCTATTTTTTGATATAAAACATTGATTTTTAAGTATTATGGATGCTTAGAAAAAAGCTAATTTAGTAAAAAAAATTTTTTTGCGACTATGCGATGGTACTGGGTGGAGGCGCTACTCTTAGAGATATTACGGTAAACTATTTTATAGCTAATGACTTCTGCTAATATGTAAATTCATAGATAAGCTAAACTATTTATAGTTGAAATGAAAGATGAAATCAGAAATTCAAAAAAAAACAAATCATAGGTTCGTTATTTAAACATTTAAACAATAGAAAAACGGTTTAACTTTCACACAATGAGAGGAAAGCAGAAAGAAAATGAAAGATAACCGGGGGTGGGACAAATGCGACCTTTTTGTTGCGCACCTGGACATTTGCGCACCTTTTTTTTGCTGGAAAAGGCCTTAGGAAAGACCGTAGAGCTTCGAAAATGTTTCTTTAAGAGAATTGTATGCGTAGCTTCCGAATTTCGACAAATCAGACCTCGCTGACACGTCAAATTTGGGCTAAAAGGCAAAAACTGCGGAAAAGTGTTAAGTTGCGTTGTTGTAAGAATTGTTGTAATTAATAGGTTGATGCATAAGTCTTTTCGTTTTTTTCGTACTTCTGTTAAAAAGTAACAAATTCACGAATTAATCTATAGTTTGCTCTATAAAAAAAGTGTTTTTTTGTTCAATTTGCATCTTTTTAAATGAATTTCGGTTCACTTTCAAGCAAATTCGAGAGTGAAAAACGCCTTTTTCGTAAAAATCTCTAAAAAACTCTACGGAAAAATTGGCTGAATGAATTTCTCTGAAATTTTGGCGAAATATCAAACGTTTTGTTTTCTCTATCTTTTATCTATTGACACGAAGATAGGCTTTCTTTAGCTAAGGTTTCTAAACCTAAGGCTAAGGTGTCATCGAGTTAGCCCTTTTTGACTACCCGACTTCATACTCTCAAGAAAATCCAGGCATTCAATATTTTTAAACCCGTTTTAATGTTATTTTGCAGAAAAATAATTGCTTTTTCTAATGAAATCAACCGTAGTTTAATTGGTGCATTTGTTGGCTTGAAACGGCAGACGAAAAGGAACAAAAACACTTATGCATCAACCTATTAGAATGAAGGCGCACCGATTTCCTCAATATTTCTCCAATTTTTAGGCTGCCAGAGTTAGGTAACTTTTTAGTGGCTATTCGCCACAGGGCGCTACTATTAGAGGTATTACGGTAAACTATTTTATAGCTAATGACTTCTGATGTAAATTCATAGATAAACTAAACTATTTATAGTTGAAATGAAAGATGAAATCAGATTCAAAAAAAAAAAACAAATCATAGCTTCGTTATTTAAACATTTAAACAATAGAAAAACGGTTTAAAAACGGGATTGACTTTCATTCAACAATGGAAAAAAACATTCAAGACTATAGAAATTGGCAATGAAGAGAGAAATTGATGAAGTGAAAGAAGTATCTGGATACCTTCATTCAAAAGAAGCTCTCGTTTTCTCTCCTTTTCTTTCAATTCTCTTCTCAAATAACTGAAAACCCCTTGATTTTCAGCTCAATTCGAGAGAAAAGAAAAGAAAGACTTTCTCCTCTTTTTGGGGATGAAAATGCGCCCGCAAAATGACCCAAATTCTCTTTGGAATCAAGGATTTACACGGGGGGGGATCTTTCCCTTTTCGTTGCTCACTTCTCTTTTATTGCTCATTTTTTGTAGTGTCATTGTCGTAAAGGAATCGAGTTAATTATTGAGTTTCACATGGCATTAACACATTCACGATGATCAGAGATCATCATGACAATCATTTTTATTTCGTTAATTATTTCGCACACAAAATTTTATGATAATTTTTTTGGTAGTTTTCAAGAGGAGATTCAGAGCTATCGAATGACTATAATAATAGGTTGATGCATAAGTGTTTTTGTTCCTTTTCGTCTGCCGTTTCAAGCCAACAAATGCACCAATTAAACTACGGTTGATTTCATTAGAAAAAGCAATTATTTTTCTGCAAAATAACATTAAAACGGGTTTAAAAATATTGAATGCCTGGATTTTCTTGAGAGTATGAAGTCGGGTAGTCAAAAAGGGCTAACTCGATGATGCGGTTTAGACACCTTAAAAAAATAAAAACAAAATACCGACTGGGGCTACCAGTGGTGAATTTATCGCATACACGAAATATATCAATCACAATACAACGACACACACAATACTAGGCTATATCTTAACTTAACCCACGTCATGACAGACGGCTCCCTAACCCTAAGCTCAATGGGGAACTAAATAGCTTTTTTGGTGGTGAAGGGAAGATGACGATGAAGGAGTGGCTTGTCACTTTAAAGAACTGGGGCCACAACCACCAGACTGCCCTCCAGAAAACCTCTCAACCCGAAGGGAAAGGAAATCCGAAGGGGGTGACCATGTCGCATGTGGGGTTCGAACCCTCGACCTTCCGATTAAGATAAAAGACACTTAACCAGTCAGCCACACGTGCTCCTAGCTAAAGAAAACCTATCTTCGTGTCAATAGATAAAAGATAGAGAAAACAAAACGTTTGATATTTCGCCAAAATTTCAGAGAAATTCATTCAGCCAATTTTTCCGTAGAGTTTTTTATAGATTTTTACGAAAAAGGCGTTTTTCACTCTCGAATTTGCTTGAAAGTGAACCGAAATTCATTTAAAAAGATGCAAATTGAACAAAAAAACACTTTTTTTATAGAGCAAACTATAGATTAATTGGTGAATTTGTTACTTTTTAACAGAAGTACGAAAAAAACGAAAAGACTTATGCATCAACCTAATAGTTTAGTTTTATCATTGAATTTACATAAAACAGTTACAATTATCAGTAAAACAGTTAATGACTACGCAAATGTACACTCAAAATGTCATCTTCTTGAAGGGAGAGAAGCAGAAAGGGAGTAAAAACCTTAGCAAAAAATTACAGTGCGTAACAAAATGATAGATCGACCATGTTTTTCGCCCCAGGAACTAGAAATTTTGAATAAAAATTCAAGTTTTGACCAAAAACAAGTTCAAAATTTAGTTTTAAATCAATTTGCATCAAACTGTTATTTCATCTCTACCACATGTGGGCTGATCCGAACATTTTTGACCGAGCTACAAGCGCGTGAAGCCAGCATACCAGAAAGTAACCCTTTTAACACAGTATAAGGTTAAATTTTTGTCTCCTGAAATTTAAAACGCTGTAGCTCGATCAAAAATGTTCGGATCAGCCCACATGTGGTACCATAATGGTCCTTAAATACTTTTCTACAAATTTGAATCAAAAATTCTTGACGAAAATCTGTTCGAGTGGGCTAAAAAAATTGAGATTTCGATAGATCTCTCTCTGTCGCGTCTCTGTCGCGTCTCTGTCGCGTCTCTGTCGCGTCTCTGTCGCGTCTCTGTCGCGTCTCTGTCGCGTCTCTGTCGCGTCTCTGTCGCGTCTCTGTCGCGTCTCTGTCGCGTCTCTGTCGCGTCTCAGTCGCGTCTCAGTCGCGTCTCAGTCGCGTCTCTGTCGCGTCTCAGTCGCGTCTCTGTCTTACACAAGATAATGGCAGATGACAATCAGACTTTTATAAGGAATCTGGAATTGAATCGGAAGAGTTCAGATTGATGTGCTCGTCGAGGCAATGCCAAAGCGAATGAATATGCTTATCAAAAATGGCGGAAAATCGATGAAATACTAACGTTATCTTTTGTTGCAGGTTTTTGTTGAGTTTATTAGTTAAAATTATAAAATAAAGCTGTTAAATCAAGGTGGATCTATCATTTTGTTACGCACTGTATGTTACCAAAATTTCCCTAGTTATTTCAATTTCTGACTTTATGTGATTGAATTTTGCTTTGAATTTCTCAAAAAAATTCTTAATATTTATCAAACACACACACACAGTTAACAAAAAAAAAAAGAAAATTTTAACAAATATAAATGACCAGAGAAATGTGACGAGTAAAAGGTGAAAAAAAATACATGGAAATCTTTAAAAAAAAAACAAAACAATATAATTTACTTAAACCTTTCACGAGTTCGCCTTTTTCTTCCTCATTAAACTTTTCCTCAAACTATTTCTGCACCAATTGATCGGTCCATTCGATGTTTTTTGTTCCATTTGATCGATCACTAGCAATTCATCCGTCATTTCGGCTTTTATTTCTGAAATTAATGGTTAGAAATTGGGAAATAATATATAAATAATATACCGTAAATACTGTAATTAGTACCCCAGCCCCATAATGACGGTGCGGAGTGTTGCGTAGTCAAGCTTTGAACGCGTTTTTCTCGACACTGGTTTATGCTACAATGCGCGCTTAGATATCAAAAAATAGCCCTGAATTTCAGCTATTTTTTGATACCAAAGACGCATTTTTTGAAAGTACGGGTGCTTTGCAAAAAATGAAATACTAAAAAACTTTTGCGACTACGCGACTGTACGAGAGGAGTGGGGTACTATCACAGTATTTACGGTATATAATAATATATAATATATAATTTCAAAGTAAATCACCGATTGATTGCTCCATTTTTTTCATCTCCAATTTCTCCTTTGCCGTCCACAACTTTTTCGCGTCACCGAGCGGGATTTTGAGATCATCTCTGGAATAATTGAAATTGTTTAGAATTGAATTGGATAACAAGTGATTCCTCTCAGAAATTCAGATCTTTTTATTGTGAAAAAGCTATTCAAAAAAGCTATTCAAAACCCAAAGTCAATTTGATTCTTTTTTGCATTCATATTCTGCAAAATTTTGCACAATTAAAGAGCCCGGATTTCTGAGGAGAACCCGAGAAGAAGAAATAAGCTTGTTGATCCAAATATTATTATTATTTATCATCTAAAGCTGTGACTTTACTCATAGAGATCTCTCGTCCCACTAAAGTATGCCTGTAAAATTCAGCTAAATAAAGTCATTCTTTTAAAATACGAGTTCAATGGTTTATAAGATCGATAATATGCTTTTGTTAATTTGAAAAATGAACAAACTTGATCTCTTGTAGTGAAATGCACGTGAGTGTTGCCCCATCGACCTTTTCTCGGACTAAAATCCTTCCCACTAAATCACTCTCCGTCACTCCGCGACCCCATGAAGCGACGTCGAAATTCTGAAATTTATTGATTATAATTCTAAAATTAGGAAACTTTATTAATTAAAATTCATCAGAATTTAGAAAAAGAAACCCTTACCGTCCACAATTCTAATGGAAGTCCAAACGGGGGACTGTCCGGGAGATCTTGAAGAATTGATTGAGACAGCGATTCCTAGAAAAGAACATATTAATAAAAATTAAATGATATTAAGTTATCAAAAACAAATAATCAATAGTTTTTGGTTTATTTTATCAAATTTCTACAACTCACCATCGATCCTTTGCAGCTAAGCTTCTCGAGTTGATCGACGAGAGATTCTGAGTCCTAAAAATCGATTTTTCAATTTTTATTTTACTAAAAATTATTTTCTAACCTGTAACTGTTTCTTTTTGATCTCCAAATTCTTCAATCTTTCCTCAACAAGGTGATGTTGTTCAATGATTAGCTGATGGAGTTTCTCTTGTTGTTCTTCGTGAATTGACAACATCGCGGAAAGTCTAAAAATAACAACTTTATCATGTGAAATGAAGGCTATTTTCTTTAACTATCATATAAATCTTTTTTCTTTAACTTTCTTCCAAATCAAAACCATATCCCAAACGAACTTTTGTCTTTGTTGTTCAGCTTTTGCCTTCTGATCGTGCATCCATTTCCTTTCTCTCTCCAACATTCGCCTTTCTTCGCCGATTTGATTCCATTCTTCGCCTAAAACCACTTTAATTAGATCTTTTCTATAAAACAAAGTTTCCAAAAAAGTTTTCTTAATAGAGAAAACGTTGCAATCTAATAACAGATTCGAATTCATCATCCTCGAAAATCCTAGGTGCAAATTTTCAGCCCAATCGGACTTTAAAAAGCTAAATTGCTAATGCTAAATTCAGCCAATGTGTAAAGAAGTGCATAAGAAAAGGTGTGTTGACAGTTTTAGGTCAAAGTACAGCTTCGAATCCCTTTTTTTTCCTCACCGATTGCTTTCATTTCCTCTCTGACTCGTTGCCGTTGTTCTTTCATTTTTCGTTCCTCTCGTTTCAACTCGTTTTTCTCTCTTTGTTGCTGTTCACGCCAATTTTGCAATTCGATGAATTCAGCCATTTGTCGTTTTTTCTGTTTACTCAATACTTGATCCATCTAAAAGTTGAGAAATTTGTCAATTTGAAAGCAATTTGTCTAATTTGTCTAATTTGTCTAATTTGTCTAAATTTTCTCTGAACAAACCTCTTTTTGTCGTTCCAATTTTCGATAGAAATCCTCCATTTGTGGTGTGATCATCTTTTTCATAGATTTCAATTTGGATGACGTTCTTGGAAGTGGAAGTGAATGATGAGATGAGAATGGTGAGATCATTTGGGTATCTAATCCATCGGTGAATTGAGTGAACGATGGAGTTCGATGGAAAGCGATTGCCTAAAGTTTCAATGCAATTTTATTAGCCAAAATTTTGAATTCAATTTAAGCTTCGAAATTTAAAAGAATTTTAAACAAGTTAGCGCCGATTTCAAGTACAGAAAGAGGTATTTGATATTTGATTTGATAAAGTATTTGATTGTTTACACTAAAATAGCTCAGTTAGATGAAATTTCGATACCCGATCATCGGATTGAATCGACGATCCAGTTGTTGTTGTCCCTTGACTACATTCTGACACATTTCTCGTCCTTGGTCCACTCAATTCCAACAGAAACTCTAAATTTGCTTATTAATTAAAAAAATCTAATGAAAAAAAAGCATTTCTAAGCATTTTCACTAGCCACCTGTGAGAAAATTCCTCTTTTGTGCTTTCGCTGGTCCATTTGATGGACTCGATTGGCCGCATTTTGTGCATTTGTACTCGTAAACGAAAAAAGGATACGATTTTGTTTTCCTGAAATACACAAAAATATATAGAGATGAAGAAAAAGGCTACTCACTTTTGAAATTTCTTTCTCATCATACAATCCCCGCAAACCGCGTGCGCGCACTCCAGAATTTGCGGCATCGATGGGCCCATTGATTCGCTGTCAACTAAAAATTTGATGTGTAAAGACAAAAAAAAAGGGACACATTCTATTATACAAAAATTTCTTAAGAAGATTCTTAAGAAGATTTGACAAAAGTTTGACTTAATATTTCACCAAAGCACTTACATGAACAAAGACAATCCGGGCAAATGAGCGATGTTAAATCATTTGCCGTCGGTTTAGCCCCCGGGGCACCGATTAGACTGAATTCCATCAAATCGGCGATCAGATCTAAAAGAAAATTCATAAAAGATTGCGATCACAAAGATCACAAAGTCTTTCATTTCTTTTTCAAGCATTAATGTGATTTCCTTTGTCAAATCGATATTATAAATACTCAAAGATTATAAATACTCAAAGATTATAAATACTCAAAGATTATAAACACTCAAAATAACTAAAGATTATAAAACAAAATTAAAACCAAGATATAACACTCAAAGATTATAAACACTCAAAGATTATAAACACTCAAAGATTATAAACACTCAAAGATTATAAATACTTAAAGATTATAAATACTCAAAGATTATAAACACTCAAAGATTATAACTACTCAAAGATTATAAATACTCAAAGATTATAAATACTCAAAGATTATAAACACTCAAAGATTATAAACACTACAAGCTCAGTAATCATTTATTGAATTATTTCAGACCTCATGAATCAACTCCAGCAAATTGAGTGTTAAATTTATAAAAGAAACTCACCAGTGACAATTGTAGCAGATTGTGAAGTCTCAAAGCATTGAATGGGTGGCTGTGGGCATTGTTGAGTGTGAATGAAATCGATCATTTCATTTCCATCATTTTCCTCCTCAGTTCCCATCACTTTCTCCTGCTCTCGTCCAAAACAGAAAGAGCACATCGGGAAACCGCAACTCAACATCAACGGGTAATTCGAGCTCTCCGGTTGGGTTGAATCTAAAATGATGGCTTTTGATGGAAAAGTTCAAAACATAGATTTTAAAAACACTAAAAACACCTTAAAACACTGTATTAATTTTAATTTTAAAACATAAAACATTAAAAAAAATAGATTTAAAAGCACTAAAAACTTACAAGTAGTCGCACAAACGGGGCAACATAGCGTCTCGAAGGCGAATTCGAGTGGCTTCAATGTGGACATTTGGATGATTGAATGATTGGATGAATGATTGGATGAATGAATGATTGGAGGATGATTGAATGATTGAATGATTGAATGAATGAATGTTGTTTCACTCAATCACTGTGCTTTTTCAATGTATTTCTGCTACATCTGCTACTCAATAATTTCCCGATTATTTCCGGTAGTTGTCTGGGGGAATTGCCTTTTCCTCTCTCAACTACTTGCCATCAGCAATTCTTCTGGTTGTTAGTGAGATAAAAGAACATAATTGAGATGAATTCGGCAACAGGGAGTGGTTTATTTTGAAAAAAACTTTGAATTTAAAGCTATTTTTAAACAAAATCCCTTTTTAGAAGAGGAAATAAATGGTCAAGCTGACTGAGCTGACTGTTTTTTTTATCGTAGATTTAATGAATTTCCCTGTTTATAAGATTTATTTACAAAATATATACAAAATTACCTAAATGAAACGTAAAAAAAGCACTCGGTGATCACAAAAAAAATGAAAAACGCGTTTTTTTCGTTGAAATAAAGGCATTCGTTGAAAAAGGCATTCGTTGAAAACTAAAGCACTTGATTGAAAGCCCGAAAATGGATGAAATGAATGGGAAATTTGACAAGACTAGATATGAGAAAGATAAAGAACCAAAAAAATCAAGAAAATCTCTATCAAAAGATGATCACAATGGCGCCGATGACGTAAATGATGAGGACAAGGAGGGAGATCAAATTGTTCACAGCCACATGAATTTGCAGCCAATCGGATGAGGAATCCTAGAATTATTTATGCTTATTTATGCTTATTTATATTTGCTTATTTTGCTTATTTTTATCTACTTGGCTATTAGTTTTACACTTTATATCAAATTTTTAACAAATTTGTGACAATATGGATCACACGTGATATTTTGCCTTTCTACGAGGTGGTTGTGCTGAAAATTTACCTCTAGGGATTTCGAGAGTGAGGATTTTGAATACGTTATTAGGTTGCAAAAAGTTTTCTCTATTTTTGGATCATCTGGTTTAATTGCCCAAGTTTTTGAAGAGTTTTACGATGCTCGTATTGACTCGAAAAAAAACTATTTATCAAAAACTAATACTTGCGACCTTTTTCCGAGAAAATCCTGGGTTGACACTTTAAAGTGTGGTAAAACTACCGTATCCCTCCTGTAAAAGACAGCGCGAAATTTCATTTTTTTTGGGAGTGGGACAGATGCTGCCTTTTTTTTTTGCACCCGGACATTTGCGCACCTTTTTTTCCGCACTTAGCCCATTAGCGCACCTTTTTTCGCGTTTTAAAAAAGCTCTAAAAGCTAATATTAACCAATTTCTATTCCAAAAGTTGTTTTTCTAGGTAATTTGAGGGTGTCGAATTCAAATTTTGACATATCAGAGCTTGTGGAACCAATTTGAAAGACAATACGGCTAGGTCAATTTACAGAAAATTGTTGATTTTTCTCTTTGTATAACTCCGTCCGTTTGTTTCCACAAGCTCTGATATGCCAAAATTTCGATTCTACGCCCTAAAATTACCTAGAAAAAGAACTTTTGGAATAGAAATTGGTTATTAGCTATATTAGCTTTTTAGAGCTTTTTTAAAACGCGAAAAAAGTTGCGCTAATGGGCAAGGTGTGGAAAAAAAGGTGCGCAAGTGTCCGGGTGCGCAAAAAAAGGTCGCATTTGTCCCACTCCCTTGTTCATTTCATTTTATTCTGATTGGATTTCTCTTTTGTGGTCACTTTTGTTTTTGCGGAAAACAAAGAGGATAAAGCGAAGTTACGTTTTTAACAGCATTTTCTGTGGCGGAAGCTTTTGTTTGTAGAGTTTTTTTAGACTCACTTGCTTCCTGACGATCTGCTCTACGAACTTAATGCCAACGAATTTTAAGTTAAGTGGTTTTTATCATTTTCTATGGCGGAAGCTTTGTTTTTGTGACTTTTTAATCGCACTAACGGTACTAATAAACTTCGGGGGGGGCACTTTGATCCGATTTGATCAGATTATGTTTTTTGACTGTTTTACGAACGTTATTTTACTTTTTCTGGGGTAATCAAGCATGATGAATCTATCGATAATATTTTTAGGAACTTCTGAACAATTTTTATTGATATTTTGATAAGCTAGCTGGAATTTTGCCTCTGCAGTGTTGTTAAGCCTAAAAATGGAGGGAGGGGCCAAATACAAAGTGATAACTTTTTCAAAATATTCTAAAAGTATCGTCAATCGATTAAGCGTATTTGATTACCCAAGAAAATGCAAAACAAGACTAGAAAAAAGAATCAGGGTCTGACCAAGTCGAATCAAAGTGCCCCCGCCCGAAGTTTGTTAGTACCGCACTATGTTTTATATGTCGCACGATAAGGATTTCCCGAAGAATCCAGACTCTTCGGCTAGCCGATTAAGTCTCAAACTCTCGGCTAGCCGATTAAGTCTCAAACATGAAATCTTGAGTTATGTATTGACCGAAGTCAATACCACAAACTCAAGCTCTCTAAAAGGCGCTAAAGCTAAAAACGCATTCTGGTGCGCATTTTTGATCTGTAACCAAAGGCTATGAAGGGCCCTTTCGCCATTTTCATCTGATTCGTCATTTATTTGAAATAGAATTGTTTGTTTTTGTAAGTCAATTTGCCCCTTTGTTGGATCATCGATAAAACTTATTTACCACTAATCTGTTTATAATCGAACATAACCCCTTATTTCAACCTTTTTTCTTTTTGTTACTGTGCATTTTTTGTTTAAGCTACACTAATTTCTGTTGAAGAAGATTTCCGAAGAAGTCTGAGACTTAATCGGCTAGCCGAAGAAGGTTTCGCTAGCGAAAAATTTGAGACTTATCGGTAGCCGAGAGTCTGAGACTTCTTCGGCTGAAATCCTTAATCGGCTGCGACATATACATGCAAGTTAGGAGGGGTACGAGAAAATCCTGGGTTGGCGCTTTAAAGCGTGGTAAAACTTACCGTACCCCAATTTGCAAGTATAAAAGAAAGCGCGCAATTTCATCCTTATTCTTCATTTCATTTTTTTTGCTTAGCGAAAAGCTTTGCTCGGAAAAAGGTCGCAAGTATGAAATGAAGAACAAGAACGAAATTGCGCGCTTTCTTTTATACCTGCAAATTAGGGGTACGGTAGTTTTACCACGCTTTAAAGCGTCAACCCAGGATTTTCTCGAGAAAAAGGGTCGCAAGTAAACTAATAACAGATTCTGATTATTGAATAGTAACAGATTCTGATTATTGACTAATAACAGATTCTGATTATTGACTAATAACAGATTCTGATTATTGACTAATAACAGATTCTGATTACTGACTAACAACAGATTCTGATTATTGACTAATAACAGATTCTGATTACTGACTAATAACAGATTCTGATTATTGACTAATAACAGATTCTGATTATTGACTAATAACAGATTCTGATTATTGACTAATAACAGATTCTGATTACTGACTAATACAGATTCTGATTCTGACTATCAGTTCTGTTACGACTAATAACAGATTCTGATTACTGACTAATAACAGATTCTGATTATTGACTAATAACAGACTGCAAAACTCCTTGGTATTAATTTTTAGCTCAAAAGCTGACAAAAGTATGGACAAATGTGTTACAGTGTTAAAGTAACTTTGTAACCTTGGATGTTCCATCAGTGTTCGGCGTTTCTTCCATTCCACAACAGATATTCGCGTTGAGAACATTTGCAAGAAGGGTATATCGGTGAGCTGAATAGCTTGATATTGAAAGATAAAGATAAAGATTAGATATTAGATATTAGAATTTTCTAATCTTACATCTTCAATCTCTTTTCACTCACCCGGTGGCACTTTCCTTTGCACTCTCCCGACAGCGGCAATGATGACGGTGAGAATGAGTGAAATGACTGTCATTGATAAAGTGAATGCATAAAAGAGATCTGAAAATGGAATTAGGTCAAAGTAAATCGATCTTTATTCTAGTTACAAAGCTAGAATTGTATTTACAAATTATTTACAAATTTTCGGCACATGTTCCCCGAATCCGACTTGCGGAGTTTTATTGACGAGGAGTTGAAAAGCGAGAAATTGAATGAGAAGCGAGAACATTTTCACATTCACCTATTGAAATTGATTTATTCATTGATTTGATCGTTTTTCTTTTTCCAAAAAAAAACAAACTTGTTCTTTGAATTTCCCAAAGAATGGAGCGATGATTAAAAGGAGAGCTGAAACGGTGACTGGAATGAGCAATTCGATTGAAAGAGTCGACGATTTTCGCCTTGCTGTCACACAAATCTCGAGTTGTTCGGCTCTGGAAAGGATGAAATTTTTTGATGGACTTTGTTTGGATTCGAAGATTGGATTATTTACTCACTTAATATCCCCATCTTGATTCGTTTTTTTCACCCACGAGTCAACGATGTGCCAATTTGAGCGTAAATTCTCCACGTTTAAGCCATCTGAAATTGAAATCTTGAAGTTTCATCGAAAGTTTCATCGACTCACTTTGAGCTCCAATCAAAAAGTATTTGATATAATATTTGAAGAGAGTTGATCGAAGATTGAAACAACAATGTTTGATATCCTGGAAATGATTGATGATTTAGAATGATTTAGAATAGAATATAGGTGAATGCAGAGAATAAATAAGCTACCGTAAATACTGTAATAGAGTACCCCACCCCCTTCGTACAGTCGCGTAGTCGCAAAAGTTTTTTAGTATTTCATTTTTTTCAAAGCGCCCGTAATTTCAAAAAATGCGTTTTTGGTATCAAAAAATAGCCCTGAATTTCAGGGCTATTTTTTGATACCAAAGCGCGCATTGTAGCATAAACCAATGTCGAGAAAAACTCGTCCAAAGCTAGATTACGCAACGCTCCGCACCGTCATTATGGGGGTGCGGGTACTATTACAGTATTTACGGTAGGTGAATGTAGATAATAAATAAGCTAGATTTTCTTAAAAACTCGACAAACATTCGGGAAATCCGAATAATCGACTTCACATTCGGCTTGCATACGGAATTCCAAGCGAGCAGTGAGATTTCCTGTGTATTTTGCATTTATTCCTTGATAGGCTGTGTAATCGCTGCTCGATGAAGCTGTTTGATATCTGAAAGTTGGGAAAAAAGTCGACAAAAACGACAAAAACGTTAAATGACGAGGGGTTCTTTGTGCACGAGCACAATCGCTCGTGATCTGGCATCCCCGTTTGGGGTAAGGGGCATGGCAAAGTTTATTAGAATCCAATACTCTAGAGGCTAACTGAAGCGCATGAAGTTGCGCTTGATCTAGCTTGATCTAGCACTATTTGTCTCGTGAACTCTCGTTAACTCTCGTTAGCCAATTCTACTCGTATTGTAATTCAATTCTACCAAAGATGGCAATTTTTCAGCCGGTGCTCCAACAATCGATGTGAACATTGATTTCACTCGTCCCGATGGACCGAGAACAAGACCACTTTTAGTTGAAGGGAAAAGGCTTTACGTTGACGAACATTATATATCCGAATGGTCACCCGTTTTGAGGTTTATTTTCTCATACGTTCAATTTAAAGCCTAAAATAGCATTACATAAATAGATTCTCTAATTGAAATGAGGAATTTTTGAAGAGAAATGAATGAAACTAAAAGAAAGAACTGAAAGAAAAGAACTGAAAGAAGAAAGAAAAGCTGCTCAATTTTCCTCAGTTCTTTTTTTTCTTCTTAAATTGGACGCTCGTCAGCTTTTGACGTAAAAAAAGTCTTTTGTTTCTAAAAACGACTTTTAGTTGAAGGGAAAAGGCTTTACGTTGACGAACATTATATATCCGAATGGTCACCCGTTTTGAGGTTTATTTTCTCATACGTTCAATTTAAAGCCTCAAATATCATTGCTATGACACAAAAGCTTTTGCTTTTCAATGCTTTTCTCAACTCACTTCTCCGAATTGATATCCGGCACCCAGATCTTCCCAAAGCTTTTGATATTCAAATTATCGGTTTTATAATCCCCGAGATCCCATCGAAGACGACGATCTTTCCATGACTAAATTAATCAATGAATTAAATTAAATTAAAGGCAATAAATCAATCAATCAACCAATCAATCAATCAATCAAAGATCCAATGAAAAACCCACCAAATTGATAAACCCATTCATATTCATTTCCTTGAATACCTCATTCTAAAGTTTTCCTTTTAGAAATCACTGCTCATTTCGTTTTCCTTACAATCCACAATTGTCTTAGCACTACATCCATCACTTCCAAATCGAGGGTTTCCCCAGCAGCCACTGTTGGTGGCAATAGCATCAAAGCGTTGCCTTTATCTAAAAATAGTGGTGATTTGTGATTGCTCAAATTGCTTACTTTGTAACTTATCCGCATCTCGACTCAATTTATAATATAAACAATCCTCGAGTACTTGATATTTGTGGTGAGCGATTTCGTCGACTGCTGAAATGAAAGAGTTTTACATTTTCAAGCAAATTTTGATGACTTTTTAATGACTTAATGACTTTTGATCAACTTGAGAAGAAGCTTTTTGTCTGTAGCTTTTTGCTAGAGATCTTGTCTACTTTTTCTATTCAATTTTATTCTCTTTTTATCTTTAGAAATTGTTGATGTGTTGATGTGTTGTGGTGAGTGAATGGTGTAAATGGAGAATCTCTTTCTTTAAATGGATCGACTCGATCTCTTTGAAAAGAGATTCACAAACAAACACAAACAATCACTCGCATGTTTGCCCGCTTTTCGCTCTCCTTTTCACCAAATTCTTCCTCAATTTTCTCTTCACAATCCAGTTCAGGCAAATTCTTTTCTTTTTTTCTGAGAGAATCTCTCAAAAATGACTGACCGGAAGGCTTTGGAGAGGAAAGAGAATGGGGAAATGGATGAATAGGAAATGGATGAGCGACGATGAATAACAATAATCGAATGGTCAAAAGAAAACACTTGAAAATTCTTGAAACTTTTCTTGGATTAAGCTAGATTGATCATCTTGATCTGATCTGAACATCTTGATCTGATCATCTTGATCTGATCATCTTGATCTGATCATCTTGATCTGATCCTTGATCTGATCATCTTGATCTGATCATCTTGATCTGATCATCTTGATCTGATCATCTTGATCTGTCTGATCTGATCCTTGATCTGATCCTTGATCTGATCATCTTGATCTGATCTGATCTGATCATCTTGATGTTTTAGATTCAACTTCAACTCACAAGTGACATTGTCTCTCCATTTACAATCGGGGTCGAATTGAGCTGTTGTTTGATAGAAAAGAGTGAAGAAGATTAATAAATGAAAGAAATGAAATGTGAAGAAGAGATGATCGATTTGCATACCCTGAAAAGGAGAAAATGAATGGTGAAGAAATGGATGAAGATAAAGAAATGGATGAAATGAATGAAGAAGAGTAAAAAAGAAGTGAAAGAGACTAATGGAAAGGGGAAAAGATAAGGTTCAGTTAATGATGGAGATTTCCTGAAGGAGAATCACCTTTATTCTCTTTTCCCTGAACCTGTTAATAATCCAATTTGCAACTATTCTTGTAGAGGAGAATGAGGCGAATCGAATCGCGTCATTTTCGTCTTTTTTGAATGAACTCATGCCGAGATATGCCCTATTTAGTTAAAAGATTTTCGGAAAATTTGAATCGAAAAATGAAATGAAACTAAAATGAAATTTCTATTCGTTTTACGCTCACCGAAAAATACAAACGAGTAGTAAGCGTAGAAGCGATTTGCGGAGAAGCTTATTGTAGAAAAGGATGGATTTCGTTAAAAAGTAGACAGCTTTGCCGATTTGAGACAAGAAATAATGTTTTAAAAAAGTTGAGATTTGAGATTTCCGGTAGATTAAAGGAATACAAAGGAGAATGGAGGAGAAAGGGTGGAACTGGCTGAGCGTTCAAGGAGAAGGAAACTGGTATGCAGCTAGGGGGATCCCCGATGGGGAGTTCAGCCTTCAGAGTACAGCCAGCTCAGAGTTTCACCTAAAAACGGGCTTGCTATACAGTACAGCTAGACAGTACAGCTAGACAGTACAGCTAGACAGTACAGCTATTCAGTACAGCTATTCAGTACAGCTAGCTACAGTACAGCTACAGTACAGCTGCAGTACAGCTACAGTACAGCTGCAGTACAGCTACAGTACAGCTACAGTACAGCTACAGTACAGCTACAGTACAGCTACAGTACAGCTATACAGTGCGTTTCACATCAAGTGACCCATTTTTATCTCTCTTTCATAAACACCAGTTTATAATGAGTAGAACCTTTCTGCTTTATCCGACAGACGGCTCGGCATTGAGTTGCCCACGTGCTGATGTGTTGGTATGCTCACACAAGGGGATTTCTAGGGTTTATTTCATATATGAATGCCATATAAACGATTTTTCTTTTGTGTAATTCGTTTATTTGAATCATTTAAAGTTTCTGAATCATAGTACAATTCGAAAAGAGATTTTTCGGATGGGTTACTTGATTTGAAACGGCTGTATATTCAAAAACACTGGTATCTTTTTCCCATTTTATCTTTTAACACACAAAACACTATAACTTCACTTTTCAGGATTTAAAAGTGCAGACACGAAGAGTACCGTAAATACTGTAATAGTACCCCACCCCCATAATGACGGCCGGAGCATCGCGTAGTCTAGCTTTGAACGAGTTTTTGCTCGACACTGGTTTATGCTACAATGCGTGCTTAGGTATCAAAAAATAGCCCTGAATTTCAGCTATTTTTTGATATCAAAAGACGGAGCATCACGTAGTCTAACTTTAAACGCATTTTTCTCGTCATGCTTTTATAATGACGGCCGGAGCATCGCGTAGTCTAGCTTTGAACGAGTTTTTGCTCGACACTGGTTTATGCTACAATGCACGCTTAGATATCAAAAAATAGCCCTGAATTTCAGCTATTTTTTGATACCAAAGACGCATTTTTTGAAAGTATGGGCGCTTTGAAAAAAATGAAATACTAAAAAACTTTTGCGGCTACGCGACTTTACAAGGGGGGTGGGGTACTATTACAGTATTTACGGTAGAAGCTCTATTTTAAGCTAGCGAGTCTAAACTGTTACAAAGGAGATATTCTATAAAGAAAAATTTTCGTGAAACCAATACGAGATCGGAACTGTATAAGAAAAGAAAAGCAAAACGAAATGAAGGCCTTCAGGCGGTTGGTGTGTGCGTTTTTCTTTTCGAGAGAAAGAGTGAGGGAGAATAATCCGTTGAGGGGACTGAGAGGTGTTCCCCTCCTTTTCCCTCCCTTCACATCTCTTCTTCTCCTTCTTCTCCTTCTCCTTCTTCTCCTTCTTCTTCTCTCTTCTTCTTCAGGCGACATTTTCTAAGAAGAGTGCAGGACTGGTCACTGAAGATTTCCAGAAAAAAGAGGAAAGAGAAGAAAGTGAAAATAAAGGGAAAACAGTCTGAGAAAAGAGGACAAAAAAGAACAACAATCACCCATTTTCTGAAGAAAATTATAGTATTTTGATTTTTTTGAGAGAATAAAACCTAAGTAAACTGGTTATAACTTGCTATAGTTATAGTAAACTGGCTAAGTAAACTTGTTGCATATTGCTTTTTTGTTTCATTTTAATTTGAGCTCTTTTTTCATTTGTGAAAGAGTTACCGTAAATACTGTAATAGCACCCCACCCCCAGAATGACGGTGCGGAGTGTTGCGTAGGCTAGCTTTGAACGAGTTTTTGCTCGACACTGGTTTATGCTAGAATGCGCGCTTAGGTATCAAAAAATAGCTGAAATTCAGGGCTATTTTTTGATACCAAAGACACATTTTTTGAAAGTACGGGCGCTTTGAAAAAAAATGAAATACTAAAAAACTTTTTGGACTACGCGACTGTACGAGGGGAGTGGGGTACTATTACAGTATTTACGGTAGATGAGTAATTATCGTACACATAGTCTAATCTTAGTAGATTCCCAAATGTCTAGGATTTTCTAGACATTTCAAATCAAATGGGGTACTATTACAGTATTTACGGTAATTGATTCTTTATCGAGGATTAGTTATCTAGACTTAATTATCAAAGATTAGTTATCAAGAATCAATAAAAACTCCAAACTCTAAATCTTCCAGATTCCTGGCGGTTACGAGACCCATCACAAAGAGAATCGCTCAAACGCGGGACGCCGAGTGAACAGAGATGGTGTTACTGTACGAGGGGCTCGGGTACTATTACAGTATTTACGGTAGATGTTTTTTTAAAGAGATTTTATTTAAAGAAGGAGTCTCACAAAAGAACATTTCAGCAGATTGTTTAATGAAATCCATTTTTTAAATGGTATACTCGAAATGGATAGCTGAAACGAAATGGATAGCTGAAACGAAATGGATCGCTGAAACGAAATGGATCGCTGAAACGAAATGGATCGCTGAAACGAAATGGATCGCTGAAACGAAATGGATCGCTGAAACGAAATGGATAGCTGAAACGAAATGGACCACTGAAAAAAACTGATTTCATATTTTAATACCTGATAAATCTATTGATAAATCGATATATTTTAATCAGTTCTACTTTATCGAAAATGATATTATGCTAATAAATTTGGCTTTGAAATTCTCAAATATTCGAATGTTTCATTAAAATCACCAACAACAACAACAAAGCTTTTTCGATTTTTCCTTTTATAGAACTCCGAAGCAATAATCGAGGCTATTTACAGGGAAGTCTTTTTCTCTTTCTTTTTCTTTCTCTTCCTCTTTCTATTTCTATTTCTCTTTTCTTCTCTTCTCTTCTCTTTCTCTTTCCTTCTTCTTCTCTTCTCTTTCTCTTTCTCTTTCTCTTTTTCTTTCTTTTCTTTTCAGAATTGAGTCAATTCCTTTTTTTCTTTTCAGAGTTCATGTCTATTGACGGTTAAAGTGGGTAGAATGAAGCCTGTTTTTTTTTGAGATCACATCCTGTTCATCTAATTCATTTTTATGAATTCATTTTCAAGAGAGATTCAGTAGAATAACCCATTGTACAAAAAGAGTACTCAAATTCGAATCCGGATTCGATTTTGTGTCCTTTGAATAGTCGATTGTGAATCGATCGTTGTTTAAAAAGTTGTTTTTTTTTGACAATATAATATGATCAAGCATTAATTTTTAGATAAATTACTTAATTTATAGCTTTCAGTTTGAGCTGACCCAATTTTTCAAGTACAAGATCGATGCTGATGCTGATGCTGATGCTGATGCTGATGCTGATGCTGATGCTGATGAGATAACTTTGAAGACAACAATCTTTCGTAATCATCCCGATTGACTCAAAAAACACAAACAAAGGTCGACAACAAATAAAGAAAGAAACGAGAATGAGAAAAGGGATTCTTTCAGTGAATGATTTCAGTGTTTAGTGTTCCCCAAATGAAGAGCCTGTTCTCTCTCTTGTCTCGACGGACTCGTCACGCAGTCACTCTTTCGTCAAATCATCGCACTTCAACATCAGAAATCTCTTTTTTTGCAATGCTTGAGTTGAAAACTTTGAAATGTTAACAAATAGAATAGCTATTTAAAAGCAAAAAACTACGAAAAGAGCTCAATAATAAGGCTAGATTTTGCTCAATTTGGCTGCTTCTCTTTGAAAAATACAAGATTTTCAACGATTTCAACGATTTCAACGATTCAGACAAAGATTTGTACGTTGAAATCCTTTTCTTTTAAGAGATTTATTCATCGTTTTCTTTATTGTTATGCAAAAATGGTTAAGAAAACGAGGAGAACGAAAGTGGAAAAGGGAAAGGGGAAAGGGGGGAGGATGTGGGGCCTCCCCTTTCCCTCCATTCCCCAAAAAGCACTCTCCTCGAGAAGTTTGTGGACCCTTTTTGTGCTCTTTTCATCCCTTTCATCAGCAAGACTAAAGAGTTTCGAGAAATTGAAAGAAAAAAGAGAAAAGAGAAAAGGAAAGAGAAAAGAGAAAAGAAAAGCGAAAAGAAAAGTGGTTCATCTTTTCCTTTTTTCACTGAATCTCAAAAAGTTGCCTTGGAAAAATCGAGCGCTGTCAGAATAGATTTCTGTTGTAATTTCTTTTTGTTGTAAACGTTTAGCATAAAGGATCAGTGACTCTCTAAACGTCAAACGTTTAGTGTAAAGCTCAGTGGCTCTCTAAAACGTCAAACGTTTAGCGTAAAGCTCAGTGGCTCTCTAAACGTCAAACGTTTAGCATAAAGGTTCAGTGACTCTCTAAACGTCAAACGTTTACAAGAAATTACAAGATTAACTTTTTAATATCAAGCTTTTAATATCAATTTTTTAATATCAAATTCAAGATTTTTTAAGCACAATTTTCTCAAAGACAATTTTAGCGGAGATTTGGGAAAAGGGGAGTATTCGATCAAATATGGAAAAGAACTGAGGAAGCCTGGAGCCTGGAGATGAAGAAGAAGAAAAAAAGAAGAGACATTTTTGGAGAGCAGAAAAAACTATAGAAAATTGGTGAGAGAAACGAATGAAAAAAAGAGGGAAACGAGAGAAAAAGAGGGAAACGAGAGAAAAAAAGCTGGGGGTCCGTTGAGAAGGGGATTTCTCTCGGGAGAGGCCCCGGTGGGCATTGATTTCACACGATGTGCCCGGGGATTTCTTCCCCTTTTCCCTAAGCTTCTTTTTCTTTTCGTTGTTGTCTTTTTTTTTCTTCTGGGCTCTCCCCTCACTTCTGCGCCGAATAACAACTAGTGCACTTGGGAGAAAAGCGCTGGCTCTTTCTCCTATCGACCTCCGCATCTCTTTGCCTCTACCTGAACCCATCCACTTTGTGGGCCTGCCCAAAAGTTTCCCCTTTCGAGCTTTTGATCTTTTCTTTTTTTTTCTGCAGAATTCATTGATTAGATATTCTATATATTTTTGCTATTTCTAGATATTAGATATTAGGTATTAGATATTAGATATTAGATAATTAATAGATAATAGATAATTATGAATTCATTCAATTCATTCAATTGATTCAATTGATTCAATTGATTCAATTGATTCAATTCATTCAATTCATTCAATTCATTCAATTCAGTTCAATTCAGTTCAATTCAGTTCAATCAGAAGAAAAGAAAATGATAAAAAAGAAAACTTGATGAAAGCCGAAATTTCTAAAAGAATTTCTTTATGTATATTTTAAATTTTTCCAAAGTTTATTCATTTTCATTCTTATAGTGAAATGACATGAGATCTATCGATCTATCGATCTATAGATCTATCGATCTATAGATCTATCGATCCATAGTTCTATCGATCCATAGTTCTATCGATCCATAGTTCTATCGATCCATAGTTCTATCGATCCATAGTTCTATCGATCCATAGTTCTATCGATCCATAGTTCTATCGACGTAGAATTTCCCCGCTGAATCCGATCGGCTTTCCGGTTGCTAAACGGCAATGATGGGGCTCCAAAGTGCCCCATCATTGCCGTTTCTTTTCTATACTGTGCTCCACTAAATGGAACCCAAGCTATCGACTATTGGGGGCACTTTTTAAGGTCAAAATTAGAAAGAAACCATTTTAACCAAACCAAACCATTTTTAACGACTAAATATTCATTTTCTAACTTAATAGATAATTATGAATTCATTCAATTCAATTCAATTCAATTCAATTCAATTCAATTCAATTCAATTCGATTCAAATCGATTCAAATCGATTCAATTCAATCAGAAGAAAAGAAAATGATAAAAAAGAAAACTTGATGAAATTTCTAAAAGAATTTCTTTATGTATATTTTAAATTTTAAATTTCAAAGTTTATTCATTTTCATTCTTTAATCTCATCAAAAACCCAATACCAAAAGAAAAAAGAAAAGAAAAGAAAAGAAAATTGGTAATTTCATGGACAAAAAAAAGGGGATCCTTTTCCTATGTCCTATGTCTTCTCTTTTTTGTTGGTCTCTTTGAAAGAAACAGCCATTTCTTTCGTTCTAATCTAAAATTTATTCTATTTTTTGATCGAATTTTCTAAATGAAGTCGATTTATCCGCAAAAAAGAAAGACGAGAATATAACCCATATGGGTTAAAATAAAAGAGCCACGCCATGATAAGCCACGCCATGATAAGCCACGCCAATCTATGATAAGACAGAGTCTTATCATAGATTTGATTGAGTGCTTTAAAATTGTAAAAGGAAAACATCAAAACCCTCTTTTTAAAAATCTTTTTCGACTAAACTCGAGGCTTTTGGCGACTAGGCGTAGCTTTTTTTTAATCTTGCATCCCGAATCTGCTTTCTCTAAATCCTCTAGAGCTTTTTTTTTTCGTAAATCGTGTGACTAAAGTTTGGAATGCCCTTGCCGACAAGTTGCGTTTGATTCTCCACCGTATCTGATTTTAAAAGGGCTATTTCGTTGCTTTCGTTGGGCTATTTTAAGTGACTTTGTCATCTTTTATCTAGTACATTTTTCATGTCGTCTTCGCACTTTATTTCTTTCTGAATAAAGTATTTATACGGAAAAAAAAAATCGAATAAATCAAATTTCATGAAAGCCTTTTTTTTTAAGCTAATTTTCTCGTCAAAACTTTGCTTTCTCAAATTTCATAAACTTTTGAAAATTCATTCTCTTTATCTTTGAATCTGAAAAGAAAGAAAGAAAGAAAGAAAGAAAGAAAGAAAGAAAGAAAGAAAGAAAGAAAGAAAGAAAGAAAGAAAGAAAGAAAGAAGAAATCTTTCTTTCTTCTTTAAATCTTTCTTTTCCTCACTCCCTTCCATCTTCACTATTTATATATTAACAAATCAACAACAATTTTTTTAGGGTTCATCAAATCAAAGGTCTGTTGGTAAAGATCAGTGCAAAATATTGGGCTCAGGGCGGGAGAACGGGCTTCCCCCGGGGATCCCCTCGACAACAACAACGAGCACGTATGGAAGAAGTGGTGGAGGTGGTGGAGGTGATGGAAGGGAAGCGAGAGATGGACGGGGAGGAGTGTCGAGTGGAGAGATGAGGATTGGAGGCGACAATCATCCAACCATTCCAGTCACAACCTATCCCGGTGAGTGAACAGATTGATTAAGTCGAGCACTTTACCCGTATCCTAGTCAGTAAGACAGAGCAAGGGAGATGAAGTACACCAAATGGTTTACTTGATTAGTTAGACACATTGAAGAGAGACGATGGACGATGGTTATTTCTTGCTTCATCTAACTTAACTTTTAACTTAACTTAATTAACTAATAATTAACTTAACTTAATTAATTAATAATTAACTTAACTTAATTTCACTTAATTCAGCTCAATTTTGATACATTTTGATACATTTTGATACTTATTTCTCGCTATTAACTTTCTCTAGTTTCAATATTTTAAAAGTGATTGAAAAAAAGATTCATCAAGATTTATGAGACAGAGTGTACGTTTTGATGTTGCTCGTAGGGATACTAAAACGATTTCTGATGTTTGGTCGACTTGGGTAATTAAAACGACCCATAAAATCGGGTTTTCATTAAGGAAAGTGTTAGTTTTTCTTTTCAGAATAATGTTTTTAATATTAAATAAACTCATAAAAGCAAAACTTCTTGAGTCGATCTACTTTTAAAGTGAATCTAGAAAAAACTTGGCTTAACAATAAGAGCATACTCGTCATTTGGATTTGCTTAGAAGCAAATTGATAGCAAATCGATAGAACAAAAAAAAAAAATCGTGGCGTGCTACTCCATGCGCTTGATCTAGTCTCCAGAGTTTCGGAGCTCAATAAACTTTTCTTTATTTAAAAGGTAAGACTTTTAAGCTATCCAATGATACCTATCACTTAGATTTTTCTTTTGAAAAAGTCGATCCTTTAACGAGACTTTAACGAGACAATTCTTTATCTCGCTCACTCTCGATAAGGTTTTTGATCGAATTTTTTAAAAGAAAAATCTAAGTGATGGGCATCATTAGGTAGCTTAAAATTTTGGCTTTTAAATTAAAAAAAGTTTATTAGAATCCAATACTCTGGAGGGTAGCTGAAGCGCATGAAGTTGCGCTTGATCTTGCTTGATCTTGATCTTGATCTTGATCTAGCACTATTTGTCTCGTGAACTCTCGTTAACTCTCGTTAGCCAATTCTACTCGTATTGTAGTTCAATTCTACCAAAGATGGCAATTTTTCAGCCGGTGCTCCAACAATCGATGTGAACATTGATTTCACTCGTCCCGATGGACCGAGAACAAGACCACTTTTAGTTGAAGGGAAAAGGCTTTACGTTGACGAACATTATATATCCGAATGGTCACCCGTTTTGAGGTTTATTTTCTCATACGTTCAATTTAAAGCCTAAAATAGCATTCCCCCCCACCCCCCCCCAAAACCAACCCCAAAAAAAAAAAAAAAAAAAAAAAAAAAAAAAAAAAAAAAAAAAAAAAAAAAAAAAAAAAAAAAAAAAAAAAAAAAAAAAAAAAAAAAAAAAAAAAAAAACAAAAAAAAAAAAAAAAAAAAAAAAAACCAAAAAAAAAACCAAAAAAAAAAATTTCCAAAAAAAAAAAAAAACCCCCCTTTTCCCCCCCCAAAACCAAAAAACACCCCCCCACAACAAAACCAACCCCCAAAAAAACCCCCCCCCAAAAAAAAAAAAAAACCAAAAAAAAAAAAAAAAAAAAAAAAAAAAAAAAAAAAAAAAAAAAAAAAAAAAAAAAAAAAAAAACATAAATAGATTCTCTAATTGAAATGAGGAATTTTTGAAGAGAAATGAATGAAACTAAAAGAAAGAACTGAAAGAAAAGAACTGAAAGAAGAAAAGAAAAAAGCTGCTCAATTTTCTCATCAGTTCTTTTTTTTCTTTTCTCTAAATTGGACGCTCAAAGTCTTTTGTTTCTAAAAACGACTTTTCTTCTGTTTTTCTTTTTTGGAGAAAGGTTTGGGTTGGGAAAATAAAGGATAAGAAAGATAGGAAATGAAAAATATTAGAAAATATTAGAAAATATTGTCATAAGCTCTTATAAACATTATTGTTAACATTATAAACATTATAAACAATATTGTCATAAACTCATAAACTCAATGTACGAAAATTTTATAGAGCTTGGTGTATCGAGTGTCCAGATCGAGAGCTCATCCTCGCAAATGTGCAATATGTGAGTGAGGGTGTGGATTGGAGTCTTTGGATCAGCCTTTGAAAGAGTTTTCATCTGCAAACCATCTCGTTTTGTCGTCTTTCTGTGTTTTCCCGTATGCTTACGAGTAGACTTCGGAAAACAAAACTTAACCAAAACCACCAAAACCAAAACCATAACAAAACCAAAACCAAAACAAACCAAAACCAAAACCAAAACTAACCAAAACTCGTCAATATCTCGCGACTGGGAGGAGCTAACGAAAATCTGTTTGCAGATTTGAAATCAGCATCCAAAAATCTATCCCATAGGCTATTTTTTTGTTTCGAAATTTCGAGGTCGTGTTTTGGTCCTTTTTTCGGCCGCGAGATTTTGGGGAGTGAGAAAAAGTGAAAGGCAATACAATTTTAGATTTACATGTTAATTTATATGCAAATTGAGTTTTGGTTTGTTTTGGTGTTTTGGTTTGTTTTGGTGTTGGTTTGGTGTTTTGGTTTTGGTTTGTTTTGGTTTGTTTTGGTTTTGGTTTGTTTTGGTGTTTTGGTGTTTTGGTTTTGGTTTTGGTTTTTGTCTGTTTTGGTTTTGGTTTTGTTTGCCGAACTCTACTTACGAGCATTTGCTGTTCCAGTTCGAGCGTAACTTTTTCAAATTTTTGATACAGTACTCTTTGAAAGACCAAGAGGTCGAGTGATAAATGTCTGCTTCTGCCTATTTTGGTGCATCCAAACAACATCTTCGCGTTTCTCTGTTGAAGTCTCTCTCATGCTGCCCATCTATAAAAAAAAAGTTAAAATAATTAGTAGAGGTTTAAAAAGATAAATGCGGCAATAGAATGCTTTTGGATATTGGATATTGAAATGAATTGCATGCTTGCTTGCTTCGAGATCAGTCTTATTCTTTCTTTCATTTCAGGATCACATCATGGAAATGTTAGAATGTATTCATCCAACCTATAAAGCAATCGATGATCAATCTGTTCATATTCTTCTTCCACTCGCATACGACTATCAGGTTTTTAAATCAAAAACGATTTTACAAAGTCAAAAATCGAACTTTGAACTTTGTCTTCAACTCAAAACTTTGTCAAGGCTTTGTCAAGACTTTGTCAAGACTTTGTGAAGACTTTGTGAAGACTTTGTCAAGACTTTGTCAAGACTTTGTGAAGACTTTGTGAAGACTTTGTGAAGACTTTGTCAAGACTTTGTCAAGGCTTTGTCAAGGCTTTGTCAAGACTTTTTTAAAGATATTCTTATTGTTCTTTGTTTTTAGATGGATGGTCTTCTTCATCGTTGTGAATGTTTTCTTATCAATCATAATATTCCTTTCTTAGAAAAGGTATCAATTAGTTAAAAGAAAAAGAAATCGGAAAGCTCATCAATCTCTCTTTTGTTTTTTGTTCAGGTTTGGATTGCTGATCGATATAAATTAAATCGTTTACTCGTTTTGTGCTTGAGAGAAATGAGACCGAATAGCAAGATCGATCTTTCTGGATCGAGGTGAGTGGCGATAAAAATGCAAAAGATGTTTTGTAAGCATTTGAATCTACGAAAAGACAAGATTAGATTAGATCGAATCATTTATTTTTGCTATCATAGCATTTTGGCATCAAGCTTTTTCTAAAAAATGTTTTTAAAAAAAAACTTTTGAAAACTACCGTTAACAGTTGATCAATTTATCTATAGAATAAGAAAAGCTTTAGACTAATAGGTTATTCATAACTGTCTAGTTTTCTTCAAAACTATCTAGTTTTATTCATAACTTTCTAGTTTTATTCATAACTGTCTAGTTTTATTCAAAACTGTCTAGTTTTATTCAAAACTTTCTAGTTTTATTCAAAACTTTCTAGTTTTCTTCAAAACTTTCTAGTTTTCTTCATAACTTTCTAGTTTTATTCATAACTTTCTAGTTTTATTCATAACTATCTAGTTTTATTCATAACTTTCTAGTTTTATTCAAAACTGTCTAGTTTTCTTCAAAACTTTCTAGTTTTCTTCAAAACTTTCTAGTTTTATTCATAACTTTCTAGTTTTATTCATAACTTTCTAGTTTTATTCATAACTTTCTAGTTTTATTCAAAACTGTCTAGTTTTCTTCAAAACTATCTAGTTTTATTCAAAACTATCTAGTTTTATTCAAAACTATCTAGTTTTATTCAAAACTGTCTAGTTTTCTTCAAAACTGTCTAGTTTTATTCATAACTTTCTAGTTTTCTTCAAAACTTTCTAGTTTTATTCAAAACTTTCTAGTTTTATTCAAAACTGTCTAGTTTTATTCATAACTATCTAGTTTTATTCAAAACTTTCTAGTTTTATTCAAAACTTTCTAGTTTTAATCATAACCTTCTAGATACTATGCTCTAAGCGATCGAGTGAAAGTTCTTCTTTTGGAGAGATTACACGGAGCACCGGCACCCGAGGTGAATAGAGATTACGTGACCACGGGATTTTAAGTGTACAGTCGCGTAGTCGTTAACTTTTTCAATGATAATTTGGTGGAAAGTCAAAGATAAGCTAAACTCGTAATATAGTCATTTGATAGCTCTGAATCTCCTCTTGAAAACTAGTACAAAGTTAGGAGAACTTTCAGCAAAATCAAGCATAAAAGTCCTTAAAAGCAAGTTGACAGAAAAAAAAATCGTTGTCATTTGTACGGTCGATCGGTGGATCGAATCGTCAATTAATCAAGCTTCTTTATAAGCTTCTTTATAACATTATATTTAATTCGATTTCTAAACATGAATCTTCTCATTTCAGGAAATCCCGGAACCCCCACTTGATCTTGAAACTTATCAACGCGCCACTGATCTTCATTTTGCAGCGATTCGAGCGAAAACTGGGAGAGTTTATTACGTGAATCCATATTATGTAGCCGCTTGGTCAAATGTATTTCAAGTGAGTTTAAAGTTCGTTTAATCGTTTAAAGTTTAAACAAATCGTCATATTCTCTAATCATTTTTCTCTCTCTAGGAACGAATCTTTCACAATTCTTCGACACAAAGCGAGGAATTTTTCTGCCCATGTTCACATGAAGAGCTTAAAGCTTTCCTTATGGCAATTCATCCACCACAATTGAGAATAAATGGTAACCAAAGCTTTAATCTTAAATCTTAAATGTTAAATCATTAATCTTAAATCATTAATCTTTAATCTTAAATCATTAATCATTAATCTTTAATCTTTAATCTTAAATCATTAATCTTTAATCTTTAATCTTAAATCATTAATCTTCAATCATTAATCTTTAATCTTTAATCTTTAATCTTAAATCTTTAATCTTTAATCTTCAAACATTAATCTTTTTATCTAAAAAATTGTTAGAGCAAAACATTGGCCCAATTCTGATGGCTGGTTGTCGAATGGAATCGCCGGCACTTTTGAGAAAATGTGCTCATATCTTATTGCAACCACAGACACAAGTAAAAAGAAAAAAAGAAAAGAAAAAAAGAAAATAAATAATCTTTCGAAATTCAGCTATCAGTTTTTGTGCGTTTATCGCTATTGGATCGTTGTTTTCTTCACGAAATGATCCCCGCTTGTTTGTCGATGGTTCAACGACCAGAGCATTTGATACAAATGACACAACAAAGCACTTGTAAGCTATCTAGCTATCTAGCTGTAAGCAGAGTCATTTATGATGTCAATATTTCTAGATGATTGTCTTTCAACGAGAGCCCGTGCATCTATGATGGATCGATTGTCGATTTTATTGGATAAACCCGGAATGCAACCACATCAGTGTTTCCGGTTTGGTTTAGGGGAAATTAAAGATTATTAGGTTCTTTATAAGCTTCTTTATGAACAAAAGTTCTTTATAAGCTTCTTTTTAAGCTTCTTTTTAAGCTTCTTTATCATCTTCTTTATAATCTTCTTTATAATCTTCTTTATAAGCTTCTTTATAAGCTTCTTTTTAAGCTTGTTTATAATCATCTTTATAATCATCTTTATAAACATCTTTATAATCATCTTTATAATCATCTTTATAATCATCTTTATAATCTTCTTTATAAGCTTCTTTATAATCTTCTTTATAATCTTCTTTATAAGCTTTAAAAGCTCATTTACAAAGCTAAAATGCAATTTTCAGTTGCAAAGCGCACAGCACTTGCTCGGGAGTGACATGGATGTGTCCACAATGTAAAACCTATTCATCGGATGCGAATTTGTTGCGAAATACGGCGGCGAGTAGTGGGACGGCACAAGCAGCATCGTTGCAAGGAATACAGGGAATACAGGGAATACAGGGACAACAATACGGTGGAGGAGGTGCAATACAACAACAAGGAGGGACAATCATGACGACATCGACAACCGGGGTACAGGGATTGCGGTAATCCAATGAAAGATCATTTCAATCAGCTTACAAGGGAAAGTCAACTGGATAGGCGAGTGAAATGAGATGAGAGCTATCGATCTATCGATCCATAGATCTATGGACGTAGAATTTCCCCCCGGAATCCGAATCGGCTTTCCGGTTTTTGCTAAACGGCAATGATGGGGCTCCAAAGTGCCCCATCATTGCTGTTTCTTTTCTATACTGTGCTCCACTAAATGGAACCCAAGCTATCGACTATTGGGGGCACTTTTTAAGGTCAAAACTAGAGCCAAAACCATTTTTAAATGCTTTGAGAGACCATTTTTGGACCCTTTTCCCTTTGTGTATCCCACTCATCACACTGTATGAGCGCGCACTTTAAAGCCTCGAAACTTGACTTAAAACTTGACTTTTTCTAAGCTCTCGTTGCGTTTTTTGGAATCTACGCATAAAACTACCGCGGAAAAAGTGGTTTTGAAGAAAAAACATGCAAGATGCAAGAAAAAAAGTGCAAACTGCGGATTTGAACTTGAGAGGGTTTGACTCGAATCCTAGCCGACTACCAATCGGCCACCACCGCTCCATGAGATCTCTGTGAAATCTGCTCATACACTCGAGGGAGCATTTTTAAAATCCCATACAAAACTTTACATGCTTAGAACTTTTGACAGAGTGCCGTTTAGCAAAAAAGGAAAGCAGATTCGCACTCAGCGTGAAACTCTTCGTCGATAGGTCTATGGCTCATGTCATTTGGCCAGCTTATCCAGTTGATCTTCCCATGTAAGTTTAATTCCAATTATAGTTCAATGTAGTATCAAGAAAGCAAAAACAAAGATCCCAAAAAGAACCCGAAAGGCTTCGAACCAACGACTAGCCGAGCCCGATGTTGCTTAACTTGGCAGATCGGACGGGTGCGACCGCTAGGCTTCTTGCTTGAGATCACGGAAATGTGGTTGTAAAAGAGATTTTTATAGATGGACCTAGGGATTTGGGATGCTTTACAGAAATGAAAATGCAATTATTTTGATATTAGATATTCAGTTATTCCGGCCGGTGAATTTTTTTAAAAAAAAGTTTTTTCTTTTTGATTTTCCATCTGTAAACAAATCAAAAAGGCAGATTTATCCATTTTATTTATTTCTTTTTCCGTTCTTCTCCTTTTTATCTTCTGCCCGCTAAACTGCCTTTTAGGTATTTCAGAGATTTTTAGAGATTTCTCCTCCTTTTTAAGCCCATTCCATTTCAAATTTCTCTTTCGTGCTGTGATTTTAAAAGAAAACCTTTTTTTTTTGAATCTATAGCAATTTTTCTATATGTAAATTGGCTCAATAAGAAGATTTTAGCAATTTGAAGCAATTTGAAATGACAATTTTTCCATTTTCTCTTCTGGTTAGTTTTATTTTTATCTTTTAGTTTAAAAAAAAATCTTGCATTTTAAAGAAAACCCACATTGCAATAAAGTTTTGATTTATTTGTCTATTGAAAAGACAGAAGAAAGCACAGATTTATTTGTCTAATGAAAAGACAGAAGAAAGCACAGAAAAAGTACTAGAGATTAAAAAGATCAATTGGGTTATTTTATTGAGTTATTTAATTGGGTTATTGAATTGGGTTATTGAATTGGGTTATTGGGGTTTTTTTCGCCTCGACAAACATCCTATTCTTCTGGGTTGAATTGGGTTATTGAATTGGGTTATTGGGGTTTTTTCCCCTCGACAAACATCCTATTCTTCTGGGTTGAATTGGTTATTGAATTGGGTTTTGGGGTTTTTTCGCCTCGACAAACATCCTATTCTTCTGGGTTGAATTGGGTTATTGAATTGTATTGGGGTTTTTTCCCCTCGACACATCCTTTCTTCTGGGTTGAATTGGGTTATTGGGGTTTTTCCCCTCGACAAACATCCTATTCTTCTGGGTTGAAAACAAATGAATATCTGCGTGATATCTGCGTGATCAAATGTCCTTATTAGCCCCCCTCTTAGTTCCCGTTTTCACATTGAATCCATGTGTAATTAGGCGCTCGTAAGTGCAAAATGTATCCTCAGCTCTATTACCATACCTAACATCAAAACTTATCGGATGTGTTTTGTTGCTTATGTCCGCCCCATTCTTGAATACGCTTCTTTGATTTGGTCTCCTTTCCTATTAAATCTTATTCAAAAAATAGAAAAAATGTTCAGAGGCACTTCACCAGAATTGGTCTTTTGACCAGAGTTGCTGAAATTAATTTTGACAAATTCTCCTTCTTTATTTATTCAAATAGATTGCAACTCTTTGGTCTGATTTTTCGATTTCTAAAAGTAGTATATAAAAATTGTTTCAGAAAAATTCGTTTCGATTCCAGTTTTCTGCTTACAAAAGACTGGAACAATCCTCCTTCAAAATCTCAACAAAATTCTCCTCCTTTAGTTATTCAAATAGATTGGAGCTCTTTGGTCTTGAAACGTTACACCAACGCCGCCTTATCATCGATTTAGTGGAATGCTTTAAAATTGTTAAAGGCATTCATCCCGACCATTCATCCCGATCATTCATCCCGACCATTCATCCCGACCATTCATCCCGACCATTCATCCCTTTTTTCTGGTGTCTTTGAATTCGGCTCTCTACGTGGCGCTTCCAGAAGAGGGCTTTTTCTCATACGCCAACCTTCCGTTTCCTCTAAAAGCCTCCACAGTTTCTTTTTTAATCGAGAATTGTGGAACCTTTCATGTTCGTGATATTCCCACCTTGCCTAGATTTAAAGCCACCCAATTTCGGCAATTGATTTGACTGCTTTGTGATTCTTTCTTGAGGTATCTTTTTATCTTTTGGGTGTGTTTTGAGTGGTGTCCTGAGTGATTATTGTGATCTTGTTTTGGAGTTAATCAACTGAATAAAGCATACATATATATATGTTGTGTCCGATTTAGATTTAGTTTATATTATTGTTCAATCTATATAAGGCGTATTATTGTTCAATCTATATAAGATTTAGATTGAATCTAAATCGGACACAACATATATATATATTTAAAAGTGACATTAAAAATCATTGATCAAAATCATTTCCATCTTTTGATCACTAAGATTACACAAATAAATGGAAAAAGATCGGATTTTGCCGGCGGCAAAATCCCCGAAATCAGTATCTTATCATTGAAGGAATAATGATGTCAAAAAGGGAAAGAGAATTTTCATTTCATTCATTTCATTTGATTCATTTGATTCATTTGATTCATTTGATTCATTTGATTCATTTGATTCTTTCATTTGATTCATTCATTTCATTCATTTCATTCATTTCATTCATTTCATCCATTCCACTCACTTCAACTCAATCTAAATCCCTTCCAATAATGAGTCCAGTATGTTTTTTGCAAATTCAACTCAAATCCATTCCACATACAGCCAATTATCGACATCGATTTTGTCGCCTCATCATCGCCTCCAAGAAACTCCAATGGGAAACCACCACTCTTGCCACAATCACCGAGTTTGTCTGTGAGTTTTATTATCTAGCAAACATAGAAGTCTCATATTTCAAAGAGTTTTTTTTTTTGATTTAAAGAATCTTACCTAATCAAGGAGTCAAGCCGCTTTCCCCCCCACAGATTTCCCCCCTAAATTGAGGTCTAAGTGAGTCGATTTTCTCTCTTCTTTTTTTTTCGGTAGAAACTCCCACAACCACTGCAATTTTGGTAAATTGGTGGGGATTGGGAAAGTTGTGAAAAAAAAAGAGAACGGAAAGGGTAATCGCTTTTTCATTTTTTTGGGGGGCATTTTCGTTGATCTATTCCCCACGTGGCTCGGCCATTTCATCCATTTCACAATTCCTTTTTTGCAAAATTTCCTACAGTAATCGTTGACTGAACAATGGTCCCTCCAGAGGTGAATGGTGTGGTTGATGAAGGCGATTGTTTGGTGAGAAAGATGTTAGATCAAAAACTAACGCTATAATAACACAGTAACCGATACTAAAGAGTTATTGCTAAGTATTTCTTGGTTTTGAGGTTGGATTTAGTACTAGATTTAGTCTACTTTCCTGGTTCCGAGGTTGGATTTAGTACTAGCTTTAGTCTACTTCCTTGGTTCCAAAGCTGGAGTTAGTACTAGATTTAGTCTAGTTTCCTCTTCTGAAGCTGGATTTAGTACTAGATTTAGTCTAGTTTTCTCTTCTGAAGCTGGAATTAGTACTAGATTTAGTCTAGTTTCCTTCTGAAGCTGGAGTTAGTATTAGATTTAGTCTAGTTTCCTTCTGAAGCTAGAGTTAGTACTAGATTTAGTCTAGTTTCCTTCTGAAGCTAGAGTTAGTACTAGATTTAGTCTAGTTTCCTTCTGAAGCTAGAGTTAGTACTAGATTTAGTCTAGTTTCCTTCTGAAGCTGGATTTAGTACTAGATTTAGTCTAGTTTCCTTCTGAAGCTGGAGTTAGTACTAGATTTAGTCTAGTTTCCTTCTGAAGCTAGAGTTAGTACTAGATTTAGTCTAGTTTCCTTCTGAAGCTAGAGTTAGTACTAGATTTAGTCTACTTACCATATATCTATTACTGTAACCATTTAGGATCAGCACAGTTCTCACAGCACAGATCAGATCACTAAAAAAGTGAAAATTGATGATTGATGATCTAATTGATCATTCATCCTTTTCATTTCATTCAATCGATTTCCCCAAAAACCAAAATTGAGAGTAATCACGAGAGGATTTCATCGAAATCCCCCACCCCATTTCTCTATCGATATTTCCCCATCACCCCATTTATTACTTACTTTTTGCCATACTAAAATTCTTTTAACTATGACATTAGAGGAAAATGATGGAGCAGCTGAGATTTTATCGGTAATTTTAAAAGAAAAACAGATGATTATTTGAATTGTTTAGCGTTATGCAATGGATTCGTACATTGCTGATGTGTCAAATACAGCCGGGCATACATCGATCATGTTCACACTTAAAGAAGAACCCGGTGCACTCGCCGAAACGTTGAGAATCTTTAAGGTAATGTTGTCAAGAGGAAAATAGAAAATATTTAAGCAAA